AGAGTTTTGCAGCTTTTAAGCACTGCAAGCCCCTAATATTATTCCCCGGATCCCACTGACAAGAAATGCTAAATCCCAATGAATCCGAGTCACAACAGCCAAGGCACAAAGTCAAAAGCAAGTACAAAGTCTGAGCACAAGCCACAACTTCCAAATCCACACATAAAAGTCCGAAGTCCAGGCACAAGTCCAAATTCCACATACAGTAACCAAAGCCAAAGTCCAAGTCCAGAATCCAAGCACTAAACTACAAGGACTAGTCATGAGGTCAAAAACCAAGGCATGGTCCAGAATCAGGAAAACCCAAAGTAAGAGTACACACACAATAAGGAAGCAAACAGACCAGTTGCCTCTAACTTTACTTTGCTCCACACGCTGCGTCAAGTAGCTGCCAACTGGTGCAGCTCATTAGGAGGGGCCATCCATTGTACTTCCCTCCTTTCAGCCCTGAATGCCCCGGGATAGGGGTAGGTGGCAAAATTCCAAAAATGTCTGAGCATTTCTAAATCCAGCTGTGTGGAACAGAATCAAATGCTTTCTTATCAATCCAGGCTATGAACAAATTTGTTCATCTTTTCTCTGAATTCTTCAAAACCAGTTTATCAATCATCAATTGGTCTTTGATTCTTCTTTAATTTTTGTAGCACAATTCTGTTCTACAGGTAGCAAATCCTTGTTTTCTAGACATCCATAAATTTGGTTTGCAATAATGCCTATAAGTAATTTGTATGTTGTTGGCAGACAAATGATTAGCTTGTAATTTTTGGGTTTATTTCCCTTTTCTGTATCCTTCTGAATCAAAAGGTTATTCCAGTTGTTACCATTTTTCACTTTTTGATGCTTCCAGAATCTGATTCATCTAAATTTGCATGCAAACATGTTAGTGATTTCAACCAGAATCCATGCAGCTCATCTAAACCAAGATCACTTTAATTTTTGACTTTCTTTGCTTGTTTTTGCACCATTTCTTTTGTTATGTCAACATCTTCCATTCTAGTCACTTTTACCTTTAAACTGCTTGATCCATTTTGCATTTTCATTGTGTTTTTTGTTGTTTTCCTGCAAGTTCTTCCAAAATTTCAGGGTATTTTTTTTTTGCTAAGTTTTTCACTTGTGGTAGCACCATGTCCACTTTCAAGGGTCTTATAGAAATAATGCTGATTCACTCAAAATTGTGGATTTTGCTGAAACTGCATTATTCAGGTATCCTATAACTTTATTTTCCCTGCAATAGCTATACCTCCTTGTTTCAACTCTTCAACCACAACTGCAATTTCCTTGTTTTCCAGGTCATAGCTTGTTGTCAGGCTAATTCTGATTTTTTTATTCTTCGGGTTTCCTTGCCTCAAATTCTTCCAATTGTTTATAATCCTTGTAATTTAAATCCAATTGAATTCTCTTTATTTTTTAATTCCAGCCGGATTTTCCACTTTGGTTTTCCATTCTTAATTGCTTTATTCTTTCTAATTTTCAAGACCTATTCTTCAATAGTAATGTAAGTGCAGGGTACATTAGTTGGTGTTTGAGGTAATGTTTCTGTTGGATTAGTCTCAAGAGCTTCATTCACCATCTTCAATAATTTAGCTAAACTTTTCTTACTTAACTTAATTCAGTTTTGGCAATTGAATTCTTTCAGTGTTTTTCATCTGAGTCTTAATCTTCTCAGTTAATTCAGATCAAGATGTTGGCTCTTCAAGATCTAATCCAGCTCTTGTATTGTTGTTGTTGATGATGATTTAATCTTCAATTCCATTCACAGTCTGAGACAGGTAAAAACTTAACAGTTCAAGTCCTAATCAAGAACTTAAGAGTTATTAAGGTAACATCTGAATATATAGGCAGTTCTGAGAAAGATGTTTTTTTTTGTAATGTTTCAATATTCAGGTCTAATAATTTTAAAATTTCCATGTATCTAAGCAACTCTTTGAGTATTGCTTCAAATGCTCCTATTATTATTGGTGTAACCATTTATTTCTTCCTCCACAAATGCTCAACTTCAATTTGCAGGTTGCGATATTTTATTTTTTTCGAACTGTTTCTCTTCGATTTGTGCATCACCTGGTATTGTAATATCAATGAACCAGACTTTTACTTTCATATAATAGTGATATCAGGCATCAATGAACCAGACTTTTACTTTCATATAATAGTGATATCAGGCATGTTGTGGGCCCGATGTCTGTATGTTTGGATTCAAAAGTTCCACATTGTTACTGTTATTGTTCCAGACTATCTACCTTTTGAATAATGAAAATGCAAAATTCTACAATGGATACAAATAACTTCTAATTGTTTTAAGGATTGCCCTACAATTTTTCGCAATGGAAACAAACAACAATCTGCCTTTAGTAAAGCAATGAGTGAGTAGTCAAGGATTATATAGGACTTGACATATCTGTAAATTTGTATGGATTCAAATCTCACTCTAGATCTTCAGTGAAATATTAAATCAAGTTCTAGCCTTTTACTCTGTTTGTAAGGATTTGTGCATAAAGACTGAAACTCAATACAGATAGCCAAACTGATTTCAGCAAAATTAGTTTAGAATTCGGTATTTGTTATTTTCTTTCTCAAATAAGCCTCTTTTGTTTGCCTGGTTTAAATTTTAAAAAACCTCAATTGCAATTTCTTTACCTGCAGACTTATAAGCTTAAAGAGTTGTTGTTCTTCTAAAAGTAATGGTGAAAAGATAAGCTCTAGATAGTTTTCAAACAATATGATGAAACAATCTATTTTAGAAATTCACATAAAGGAGAAAAGTTCCCAGAAAATTTGCCATTGCTATACAAAGTGTGTATGATCATTCTGACTTTCAGTGTAAAAATATGTTTGGAAATATGAAGCCTTCTTGACTTTCCACATTTTCATTCAATTCAATTCAATTATCTTGAATTCCAACAGCTGCATGGACATCTGTGGGAAGTGACATAGGGCAACATAACTATATTAAATTACATATTTGCTTACTGCATTAGGATACAATGGTTGGGGAGAGTATATCATGACACCACAAAATTCATTTGGCTATTTTGATGACATGATTGGCACCAAACATCAATGGTATCTTGAGCAAAATTCCTCTGTCGAAAACTTTTTCAGAAGTGTGCTTATATAACCACTAGGGGGAGACCTGCTCTTAAGAAAGTCCCTGAGAATTTTGGAAAAATCATCCAATTTTCATGTTGGGTATTATATTTTGTGATTAAATTCTGAATCTGTCGGATTTGGGGGGAAAGCCAATTTGGTGTAGTGGTTAAGGCACAAGTCTAGCAACCAAGAGACTGTGAGTTCTAGTCCCACCTTAAACACGAAAGCCAGCTGAGTGACTTTGGTCACACTCTTTCAGCCCAATCTACCTCACAGGATTGCAGTTGTGATAAAAATAGGAGGAAGAAGGAATATTAGATATTGTTTTATAAATAACTCAAGGTGGGGAATATAACAGGGGAAAAAACCTAAGAAATAAGGAATAAACTAAGTGCCAAATGATTAATGCTACCCTTATTAACAGAACAGATTAAAGGATGATTTATAAACGCATTGAGTAGACAGACTAGTCTGTGTAAGGAAGTTTAATTTGATTCCATAATTAATTTTAGAGTCCTTGAAAAGAAAACAGACTGACTACCATGGGGAATGTCCTTGTCCCCTACCAACCAATTTTTAACAGTAGGAAAGGGGAATAGAAGAAATACCGAATTCTTAAAGTCACACAAATAAGAGTACAGTGAATAATTGACAGGCCTAATGAGGGGAATGTGAAAAGAAGGACCAAAAACTGAGACTAACAGAATAGACCTTGTATTTAGTTCTCTCCCAGCCCAAAATAAACAGTTAAGGCAATTACTTTGGCAGATCCAACTTAATAGATACTTGTGAAATTAGTAGGCCAGCAATAATTATGTGGGGAAATCAGTTATTTTATCCCATGTGATAAAAATATTTGGCGGATGTGGGGAAGTAAGATGAGGAAAGCAAAAGGATACAGCCAGCATTCTAAATAACATGAAATGGAATCAACCTAGATCCATATTTAGCAAGCAGTTCATTTTAATTCTGAGCAAAGGAAAGGACTGTAACTTTTCTCTAAAGCAAATTAAATTTCACTGCCAAAGAAGACAATGGAGAAGATGACTAAGAGGCTTGTTTATTTTCTTATACAAGCTCTAGCTACCATTTTGTAAGACAGGGGTTCCTAAATCTTCTGGCATCAAACCTCTCTTAGTGTAATCTTAATGTATACGGTAAATGTTCCCCTCGCACAAATGGGCTAGTTGTTCCCGACTCTAGGGGGCAGTGCTCATCTCTATTTCAAAGCCGAAGATCCAGCACTGCCCGAAGACGTCTCTCTGGTCATGTGGCCGGCATGACTAAATGTCAAAGGCCGTGCACTGTTACCTTCCCACCAAAGGTGGTCCCTATTTTTCTACTTGCATTTTTACATGCTTTCGAACTGCTAGACTGGCAGAAGCTGGGACAAGTAACAGGAGCTCACTCCGTTACATGGCGCTAGGGATTCAAACCGCCAAACTGCCAACCTTTCTGATCAACAAGCTCAGCATCTTAGCCACTGAGCCACCTCTGATACTCTTCCCCTAAAAACATAATGAAACTTTGGAAAAGATTGATATATTGTAATAATGCGCTGAAATGTTCTTCAGAACTTGCATGGACTCTGCCCGCACCTCTTCAAGAGATGTACTCCTCACAGTTTTAATCATGCTTTGCTGCAATCTAGTAGTCAGGAGAATATTTGGAAGCCTGATACAAGAGCCTTACAATCAATCTTCCAACAGCATTTGAGAGGAGAAGAATAAAGGAAGAAAATGGCAACTTCAAAGACTATGATCTTAGGCCTAACAAGTTTTTTGTTCTCACATGGTTTCACCTATCTAATTGACAGAATCAGTTATACCTGTTCCTTGCTTCAAATGCTATGAAGTTCACGGGATATTATTGGTATCTATAACAGATCTGGAAGGATAGTGGAAACAACTCACCAGTTCTGTATGAGGCTGATAACCTGTGAATAGGTTTTCCCAATGATGCTTTCACCATTTACTTTAACCAGTCGATCTCCTGCAAAAAAAAAAAAGACAGGAAACTGAGAAAGCACAGCCTTCTTACATCCATTGCATCTTGCATTGAAGGCAAAGAAGAGAAAAGAGAAAGCATATTTTACTGATAAAATTTGCCAAACCATTTGTATTATTTATTCATTCATTTAACTTATATGTCACCCCTCTTGTCTAGCGACAACACCAGTCAGCGTATAACTAAGTAAAAACAAGACAAAGCATTCAAATATTAACATTAACATTAAAATTCACAAAGACAGCAAGGAAGATAGCAAGGTACAATCTACATTTTTAAAAAAAAAACAACCTTTGAATTTAGATGTTCTGCAGTAAGAAAAGTAGCACTTTAAAAGAAGCATAGCTTTAAAAAAAAGAAATGCTTTTTGGAATAAAGTAGTTGCTTTTTTAAAAATGTGTTATTTTAATTTCTAAAATGAACTAAAATTAAAAGGTTAAAAGACACAAATCGAACAAAATAGAAAAAAGAAGGAAACAACAAAAATATATTATATTATTAATACAGGAAATCATTCCAGCCAATTTTTATGTACATTGTTAAAACTTGAACAGATGGAATATTGATCAGTTTTTCCATTACATTAATGGAGGCAATTTATAAATAGAAAGCAGGTTACTTTCCATTCAAATTTGTAAATCTCAAATCACCCTCTTTCCAAGAGAATATGAGTGTGAGAAAGATTGCTGTGTTTCATGATGGTAAATCTGTAATTCCTCATACAATGATAATAAATCTATGGTGGAGATCAGCTATAAATGGTCTCATTTAAAACAGAAATTGGTTAGGAGCTTTAATTAATACTGAAGACTATAAGCTTATTCTGGAAAAAGATGGCATCTTCAGACAGAACCCGACAGATGGCTAGGAAAACAGATTTCTGATTTGTAGAGAGAAATAAAGAATCATACATAGGGAACTTATACAGTAAAACCAAGGAAATTGGGAGAGATGAATGTGCATAAGGTAGCAACATGGAGTATTGTCCATATTTGCACAGTGCTTGTTTTAGTTTACTAATACGAAGATCTCCAAATAACTTAGCATGAAAAAACAGAAGGGAAAAAAATCAAATGTGAATTGTTTCTTCAAACCTCTACATAAAGTCATATTAAACAAAACTCTTAAGTGGGCCAATAATGAGGATCTTGGTGCATTATTTAACCTCCCAAGAGGTAAATGTAGCCATGCATAAGATTTAATTTATTCCTCTGTCCCGAGTGTCTTGGCAACTGTTGATTTGAGATGAATTAATCCTTATCTCTTACATAATTGAGATATTCAGTGAAAAAGGAACCATCCCAGACATTTCATCTCTATATCTGGTTTGGTTTTTACTCTTCTGGAAGAGAAACAGAAAAGGGAGGGGAGAACCCTTGAAACTTTTGTGGAATTTATCTTTTTTTTCCTCCTTTCTGCTTCAGTTTGGGAAAAAAGAAAAGGATATGATGCAGGAAGTAACAGCTTGGAAGACTGGTTGTTTTAACATAGATCCAACCATCCCTGTGTGCTATTAGTGCAAAGTAGTTACTAACAGGGAACAGGGTTAATGGGTTGATCATGTCACTAAAATACTGACATATAGCTGTAATAAAGACATTCATATCTTACCTGTCTGGAGACCAGCCTGATGTGCTGGCCCATCTTCCTTTACATTTTTGACAAAGATGGTGTCCATGGGTTCCAACCGGTTCCGTGGAGGCACTGTATGTTGATGATTAAATATACATATATATAGTACCAGGAGTTTTGATACCTATCTTATTTATTTGCATGTTCTATGATAAAGCCATGCAGAATTCTGAGACCTGAATTATGGCAACAAATTGTTTGGCAGGCTATCTATGAAATTAAGTGAAATGGGAATTTTATACAAAATTATCCCAACATTCCCTGAAAAATAATCATATGGTATTACAAAATTTATGGACAGAAAGAAAAAGAGGACAAACAACAACAAAGTAGATGGATTTAATTACAGCAGCAATGGGCACATCACTGGAAGACCTGAACAACCATACTGAAGGTAGTTCATCCTGGAAAAATATGTATATGGTCACTAAGAGCTGATATCAATGTGATGGCACATTATCATCATCATCATCCAATTAAAAAAAAAATGCACAGCTGTCTTCCATGACTACTACAATACTGCCCTGATTTAACTATTCAAATAGTGCTCAGTGCCTACTTCTTAAAGGGAGCATCCAGAAAAGTCAAAATATTTTTATGAAAGAGAAAGAGAAAAAAAATGCATTTCTGATGGGATGGGATGGCATTAAGTCTGCTCAGTTTAGTATTCTGCTTCAAGGCACTGGAATTGCATCCTGTCTTCCAAATGGGAAAGAGAAAAAAAATCTACAATAGTTAATTAAAACTTAACTGACTTCACACTGATCCTTTTACAGTGCCTTTAAAAAAATACTGAAAATGCCTTAACCTTTTCAAATCCTTGATGTCGTGTCATTCTTTTAAAAGACTTAACAGATATGATTACAAACACTCCATCACATGCATCCTTTCTCAGATTTTTCCAACCATTGCTGGTTGGAACATTGCTGAGAATTCTGGAACTATAGTCCACATATCAAGAAGGCACTTAAATTAGGAAAGGTTGAATTCATTTTGAAAAAAGGATTTATAACTCACATATAGTATGTAGATATAAAATGTGTGGTTTGTTTGGAAGACTTCAAACCAAATATATTACTTTTTTTTTTCTTTTTACTTAAAAGTATGCAATAGAAATTCAACTGTAATTTTAACATGGAGAAAGATATTTATCATTGTTTGACTTCCATCTTACGATGGGTTTTGACCTAAGTAAAAAAATTATATTGCCAAACACTACCTATTTTCAGTGGGTCACCTTTTGGCAAAGTAAATGAATGCAATCCACAAAAGGAATATTATGTGTATAGTGCTACTTCCAAAAGGGCTACCCGGCTGATTGTGCCCATCAATGCTGCTCTCCTCGCCACCCCAGCTATATATTCCCTCCCCCCAAAATTTATTGGGTCCCCCAAAGAGAGAGAGACAGTTTACTAATAGCCCGTATGTACATTGTAAATCTCTCACTGGTGAGATGATGCTAATCTATAGCATTTCCTATCAATGGCGTCTGTGTGTGTGTTGGAAGATGGCTTTGGCATGTCCTTCCCCACAGGCTTATTGGGCTGAAATTGTGTTTCTGGGGTTTGCCTGGCAGTGAATGCCACCTCTGCCATCCTGTGGCCCAAAGAGTCTTATGTCAATCTTTGCAGGGGATGAATCACCCTTTTTGGTCTTGATTCTCTAGCTGGGGTGGACAGGACTTTCTCTGGGAGTATGGCAGGCTTAAGTATCTTGGTTGCAATGTTCCCTCTAATTTTTTTTCAGTGTGAGCAGAAAGGTGTAGTGTTTGAGCGGCATATTTTCATGCCTGAGCACCTGAATTTTTTTCACAGATGTCACCTAAGACAACAAC